TACTTTTTTGTCCATTTTTTTAAAACTCCTACTGTGTATTTCTTTGAATATTTCACATTTAGTTATTTTATATTCCTATTCTGATCATTCTAATAGCATGTGACGTTTTGGGAGGTATATATATCTATTTGTTGTTTCTGCTGTCATACCTGGGGGTTATTTCCATGTGTGTTCATGTTTTCCTTCTTGTATTTATTTGGTTAAATCTAATCTGTGGAAAATAGACATCTGGTGTGGTGCTGTAGGATCAACACTGGACTGTGAACCACAAGGTCAGCAGTTTAAACCCACCAGCTGCTCCTCAAAAACCCTATGCAGGGTCACTATGAGTCAGAACCAACTCATGGCAGTTAACAACAACAATCTGTGGGAAATAAGAGGAACTCAATTGTAGATGGTTTTCTCCTGAGAAGATTGATTAGCTTTGGCTTCTGCTAAAAGCCAAAGGACAATCTTACCTGTGGCCACGTTAGCCCAGGAATCTTACCTACTTCACAGGGCATGTCTCAATGTCTGACTCAAGGTGAATGTCAAATTAAGGTCCCTCGCCTTGAAGATCAGGGATGGGAGTTTAGGAATGAACCAAAATTTAGCACTGATTCCTACATCTGCCCCCATCTTTCTTTACCAACCATCTTTCTCTACTGTTTGATCCATTTTAGCTTGATGTCTTTTTTCTTTTTATAAAAAAATATTAACATGGATTTATTTTTTGTTCTCTTTATATTGTCTACCTGTTTTATACATTTTCTATTCAGCAAGTCACATATTTTGTTTTGTAATAGTGGTTGTAATCCCTAATTAACAGCACTCTTCCCACATCCTTCCTGGGGTTTCCAGTTCCACTCATCCTTTCTTCATGTCCTTTCCAGACTTCTGGACTTGGTTGTTGGGTAAAATGATTGTTTTGTGGAATGCATTGTTGTTCTGTCTGGTGTTTGGCTATGTCCTTTTCTCTCCTTATCTCTTTAATGCCCTTGGAAGTTTCCCTTACTTCTTGGGATCCCAGGAATGCATGTTTTAATTTATCTACGATCTGCAGTTGCTCAACTATGTCCATTTTCTCCCAAAAGTTCCTCAAACAAAACTTTATTGAGCTCCTAGTTTGTGCCGAGTTTGGGCAGGGTGCTGGGGTGGCGAATGCTGAACAAGACACACTCCCTGCCCTCAAAGAGCTTACAGATTAGTGGGAAAGATAGGCTATCACCTTCGAGAAGAACCAGGAGTACCACGTGGGGATAAAGGGAGCAGTGAGAGTTCAGTGGACAGGTACCTTAAGGGGAATCCAAAAAGGCATCTTTGAGAGTGAAGAGAAATCGATTCTAGTGTTAAAGCAGAAGACAGGGAGACCAACTGAGGGGGAGCAGACTGAAAAAGCCAAGCTGGGAGAAAGCATGCCAAAAGGCTGGAGGAGTAAGAGAGCATGGAGAATTGGAAAACTGAAAGGAATTAGGTCTGGCTCGCTCGGAGTGAGACGAGGCTGAAGGGTGTGGCAGGATCAGATCCCAAAGGGCCTGGTAAAACACAGACTGGGTTCTATCCTTAAGACAGTAGGGTAGAACGGTAATAAAACATCAGCAGAATAACATAATCGAATTAGTTGTTTTCATTTTAAACATCTATATATAGATATACATCTCTCTCTACATATATATAAAATCACATTTGCCAACTATTTTTCACATGTACAATTTAGTGGCATGAATTAGTCATGTTGTGCAGCCATCACCAATAATCACTGCCAAATAGTCCACCACCATTCACAGAAACTCACTGCTCCAGAACAATGGCTGCTCCATTCTCCCATCCCTCCCGCCTCTAAACCAAACCCACTGTCAGCCAGTGGATGCCAACTCACAGCGATAGAATTTCCGAGGGTGTCAATCTTTAAGGGAGCAGACAGCGTCATTTTTCTCCCATTGAACAGCTGTTGAGTTTGTACCCCCAACTTTGCAGTTAGTAGTCCAGTGCTTATCCTACAGCACCACCTAACCACTAATCAACTTTGTCTCTCCATTGTACTTGTTCAGTGAGACCATAACAATCTATTTGTCCTTTTGTGATTGACTTATTCCACTCAGCATGTGCATAAGGTTCATCCATGTTTTGACATGGGTCAGGATAGCATTTCTCTTTATGGCTGAGTAGAATTCTACTGGTAGGGAGAATTCTACTCCATTCTAAGTACAATTCTACAAAATGTACTTAGCACATTTTGCCTATCCATTCATCCATCTATTGATGGACATTTTAGTGGTTTGCATCCTTTGGCTACAGCAAATCATGTTGCAGTTCAATTCTTTTAGACCACTGCTGCAGGTGATGGAGGGACTAGAGGAAGCCCATCAGTCCCTATAGGAAAGGAGACTGCTGCCATTCAGGAAAGAGAAGTGGGGCCTGAAGGAGAGGTGCAGCGTAGAGTAAGTGGATTCAAGAGTTGGAAGGAGCATTTCTGAGGAGCAGGGTTGCAGTTGGAGAGCTCTATATACTAGATTCACAATCACCTGTCAAAGTTTAGTGTCCATGGTCTGCAGTCTCAGATGGGCAACAGCCCATCTAGCAGTGCCTTTACTCAATGACTGGTTGCTACATGCCGATTTGAGCCACATCGCAATGAGTCAGCTTTCCTTGCAAAACCCCCAACAGGAACTGTTTTCCAAGATCTGGCTGATTGAATCCCTGGTTACCAGAAAACAGCAGCATAAGTGGTAAAGTCCCATCACAGGAAAGAAAAGGAATACTCTAGCAACAATCAACATTTTCCCACCAGGATTCCAGCCAGCTGTCACCGAGGCAGCTTGGCATGAGAAAGGAACAGGCATAAGAATAGCAGCAGCTTCTTAGTGCCAAGAACTGTGTTAAAACACTTTAAACTTATTTAATTCTTAAGACACCCTATGAACCCCAAAGCAAACCCACTGTGTTGTTTCTCATAGCCCAACACTACAGGACAGAGTGTAACTGCCCCAAACGTTTGCCAAGGCGGTAAATCTTTAGGAAGCAGAACACATCTTTCTCCTGCAGAGCAGCTGCTGGGATTGAACCATATATCTTTTGGTTAGTAGCCCAAAGTTTAACCCATTGTGCCACCAGGGTGCCTTATGTTGTTAGGTGCCCTAAGTTAGTTCTGACCCTAATGACCCTAATGACCCTACACACAAGTCCTGTGCCATCCTCATAACTGCTGCTATGCTTAAGCGCATTGCTGCTGCCACTGCCAATCCTTCCTTCTATTTGGGGGTCTTCCTTTTTCACCGACCCTCCACTTTACCAAGCATGATGTCCTTCTTCAGGGACGGGCCCCTCTTGATTCTGAGACCAAGTCTGGTGGTCATCATGGCTTCTAAGAAGCATTCTGGTTCTATTTCTTCATACAGATTTGAGGCGACCATTTAAAATTTTCTAATTGGCTAAGAGGTTTAGTAACTTAGAAGTACGGCCAGAAGTGGATCTTGAATTTCCCTTCTTTTTATTGAAGGAGTCCTGGTGTAGCACTGGACCATAAGGTCGGCTTGAAACACAAAGCAGTGCTTGAAATTCACCAGTTGCTCCTCAAAAACCCAACCTCTTGATGTGTCCATGTATCACCTTAGAAAGCAGACAGGGGAGTACCCCTTTTTTCTAATCAATTTTTTGACTTGATTAGTCAGGCATTTTGTAGACCTGTGTGAAGGCTCCCCATCATATGGTAGTAGATACAACCTTCTCCACTGTAAAGGTACTATTTTCCCTCTGCATGTTTTGATCTTTGAAAGGTAGCACTAAGCTTGGCCCACACTCTGGAGTGAGGAACATTGACTATTATCAGGAAGATTGGTCCCTTCTCCTAGTATCAGTATACACTCATTTGAGTTGTAACCACACCCTTCATTTTTAAGATGAATAATTTTATTAAAAATTGACTTGTTCAAGTCCACGGGGTACGTTGTTGGGAACCATGGCTAGATCTCAAGTCTCTTCCAAGAGGGGAAGCAGAGTTGTGTAAGAATGATTTGTAAACCCAAAACAGTGTAGCATTTATTATTCCACAGTACGACGGAATAAAATATAGTTGTTACCAATTGGGCAAACCTCGAAAACCTTATGCTAAGTTAAAGAAACCACATTAAAGACCCCAAAGACTATTGTCTACAAAATGCCTAGACAAACAAATCTGGACATAGTGTCTGTCTAGCAGGGGAAACTGCCAATGGGCATGTTTTTTTGGGTGGGGTGGCGTGATGAAAATGTTATCAAGTGCATAGCTCAATTCTGTCCTGGAGATTTTGCAGGAGGGTTTCCTCTTGGAATGCAGTACAAGGGGTTCAGTGTGTGGTTGGCCCCAGACAGTCACATTTCAGTGTAAATGCTACCTTCGCTAACCACCTGCCAATGCAGCAGTCACCCACAGGGTCACCCATGGCACTACCTTGCAGAACATAGTACCAGCTGGTTTCCTTGGTCCCCAAAGTTGGATGTTGAGCTTCCTGAAAGCAAGAACTTTGTCTTTCATTGCTGATGAAAATAGGGCTTTATGTGTATTTGTGGAATGACTGAACCTCTCTGTACTTTATGTACCAATGTGGAATAATCTCCAAGATCCGCAGAGTGTAAAAAAGCAAGATGCCTAAGAGCCGGCTATCAATTTTGCACAGAAGGTGTGCATGTGGGGGGAGAACACCCACCCACATAGTGTTTATATATGGAGTTTGTCTGGAAGGCTCTTCTACTGCGCAGGCTACACTTGGCTCAACGGTTTCCACCCTGCTATGGTTCTTTTAAGTGATCCATTTTAGGAACCAACATTTTCCAAGCAAGGTCTTGAAGCACTACTGTTGTTAGGTGCCACTGAGGGTTTTTTTGGTTGTTTGTGTAGTGTTTTTTTGGGTGTAGGGTGGGGTGTTAAATACCTGCTGTTTTATGACTGCTTCTATGACCAAGCTGGCCTCAGGCTCTGGTCTAATTAGATGAAAGGAAACAAACATCCCTGAGGGGTGGCTCCTTCCCCAAGAAGATGAGTCAAATAGTATATGTGAAGGTAATTTATTAACAGATAACATCGATTTGCGGAATCCTGTTCACAGACGGCGACCACGGCGACCCCCCTTCCTGCGGGTGCTGTCGGAGGGGATGGGGGTGACATCCTCTGTGGGGAAGAGGAGAAAGTGTTATTGCCTGGAGTTGGATGGCCTCCCCAGGCCAGTCATCTATCTGTACTGGACCCTCTTCCTCCCTAAATGATCTTCCAATACAGAACAGGTACATGTGAAGCTCCTAACCCCATGCTTCCCCAAAGCCCCCAATCCAGTCTAACCTCACGTTCCAGAAGTGGAAACTGAGTGAGGGTAGATGGATTTGCATAGGGCGGCACAGATAGATTATGATAAACATAAGGTTCCCATAACCCATTCCATCAACTCTGCTGAAGAAAAGCCTCTGAAACAGAGCAACTTGAAGACAGACGGTCTCCTCTTCAATAGGCAAAAGGTTGGGAATGCTTAGGGAAAAAAAAAATCTTATGGTAGGAGAGGGGTCTGAAGTTTAGACAGAGGAGTTAGTTCATGTTATGACCAAATGCAGATACAGCATGGCGGGGCTATGGTCTCCTTCCTCGAGTTCTACACAATCAAGAGGCAATAGATATGAGGGTAGTTGGTGCTTCACAAATGTAGCACTTCCTGGTGTACTCAGTGAGCAGGGAGCAAAGATGTGGACTGTCTTACAATGTAGGAAACAGTCCACAACAACAAGCTAACAGCAACCCATTCATAAAAAACACTGGGGAGGAAGACCATTTGTCTCCTATCAAATGAAATGCTACCTCAACTGCTGTACTCGGCAACATGGGGCAGATTCGGAAATGAAACTCCCAATTCAGAAAAATACTACCACAACCATGGTGACAGGGACATTCAGGAAGACCAGGCCCTGTAGCCACTGACACACATTGTCTGGGGTCAGTGATTCAAAGCAGAACAAAGTATTAAATCAGAGGAAAGCATTTACCAATCCGCCCGATCTTCATCCCCGAACGGGCAAGGGCTCGGAGGGCAGACTGGGCCCCTGGTCCAGGGGTCTTGGTCCTAGGAAACAAAAGTCTAAATTATAGCAAGCAACACAGAAAAGGCACCTGACTAAACCCGCCTTGCCACCAAAGAAAAGCCTTTGGCTATCTCTGGCTGTTTTGTGTCATTGGGATTTTCCTTTTCAGACACCCAAATCCTCTAGCTTATCAGTCTCCAAGTTTCTGTAAAGGTCAAATAATAAATATTTTAGGTTTAATGGTTCACTTATGGTTTTTGCCCTATATTGTTACAAAACTATTCTCAACCTACAAAACAGAACAAATTATAAGAACCAGATGATCATCTCTAATTCATGCAAAAAATGCATTTGGTAAAGTCCAACACTCTTTCTTGATGAAAACTCTCATGACTGAAACAGAAGAGGAATTTCTCAATGATTCAGGGCATACATGAAAAGCCATATTTAATGTAGAACAAGTTCTTCTCTTGAAATTGAAAACACAAGGATGCCTGCACTCATTTAAAAATCAATGAAGAGAAAAACACACGCGCACATGTGTGTGGTGTAGAATCCCCACCCCACTGAACAGTTTTCATCTTGTCTAAATGGGGGTGTGGTGAAACTCGGAGATGGGGATAGTATTTTTCTGATTCAGCAGTAATTGTTACCATGACTGACTGCAATTGTCACAACTATAAAGGTAGATGTGTAACAAAAAGGGTGTAGATTTTATCTTATAGTCTGGGAACAGAAACCCCTAGGACAATCAAGAGAGAAGAGCATGAGTGGAACATGGGATTCTACCCAGAGAAGCAATGACACCAGAGATGGAGGCATGAAGGATGAAGCAACCGAGGCTTTAGACTCATGGAAAGAGAAAGGCTGTGTGCTGGTGGGCGGAGGCTGGTGTGCCAAATGGGCTCTTTGGTTGTTTAAATGATGGTGCACAGAGGGGACTGTAATCATTGCAAAATCATTGCAATGAAACAAAATACAATTGGCTGAGTGCAAACCCGATATTCTGTATTTAATTCTCAATAAAAGCCTTAAAAAAAAAAAAAAAAAGTCCCATAAACTTTTACTCAAAAAGCCAACAAACACATAAAATAATCTAAAAATAATCTAAGCAGGGACATGAAAAGTTTATATGCGTGGGCTTCAAAATGTTCATGGAAAAAGTCCATTATCTTTGAACTCCATTTTCCCACATTTTGAAGCTTCCTCATACAATGAAGACTACAAAACATTGTTGAAAGATATAAATCCGCAGTTTTGGTGTGGTGCAGTAGGTTAATGCACTAGACAGCAAAGTCGATTTGAACCGCATGGTTGGCGGTTCAAGCTCACAAGCCGCTCTTGGCAACCCTATATAGGTTCACTATGGGTCAGAACAGACTCACTGACACGTCACAATTGTCAACTGATTTTTGACAAAGGTGCCAATAAGACCATTTGGGGGGGGGGGAGCCAAAAAGAGTCTCTCTGATAAACAGCACTGAGGAAATTAGATTTCAACTAAAGCCATAGAATTCTCAGAACAAGCAGGGGCAACTCTGTCGAACCCAGTTTTTCACAATGGATTATCTAATATAAGCAACAAGAGCTAAAAGTAAAATAAATAAATGGGGCCTCATAAAAATAAGTTGTTTTATCAAATGACTACCAGAAAAAGTAACGAGACAGTCTACATGCCCATCAGCAGAAGAATGTATAAACACCCTTTGGTGCACACACACGATAGAACGCTATACGACACTGAATAATGATGAATCTGCAAAACACCTGACAACATGGAAGAACCCAGAGGACAGACACTGTGCTGAGTGAAATTTTAGTCAATCACAAAAGGACAAATATTGTACAAGACCACGGCTGCAAACATTTTCTACTAAAAGAAACATTCTATGATGGTTACCAGGGGTAGGAGAGAGGGTAGAGAATTGTTGGTTAAGTGCGGCTGAGATGGTTTCAACCACCAACCTTGCAGTCAGCTCTCCAGTGCCGAAGACACATTAACTTGGCTGATGGTGAATGCAATATACAGTAAGGGGCACAGGAAAGATGAAGGTAACAGAAGACACAGGGAGAAGTGCAAGAGTTAAAGTGAACAGAAGTAAATACTGTTAATGGACGGCACATGGAAGGATTACAGTCATTGTAATGATATGAATTGCTATGGTTTGTTGAATGTGGGACCAATGATGTTCTGTAAAACTTCACTCAACTCACAATAAACAGTTAAAGATGCTCAGCGTCGTCATCTATCAGTAAAGATGCTGACTCAGAGGCCTGCACACCAATGTTCACAATAGCCAAAAGTTAGAAACAATCTAAATGCCCATGACGATGAATGGGTAAACAAAATGTGGTTACCTACACAAGACTACTTAGCCAGCACAAGAAATGGATGGAGCTTGAAGACAGAATGGTGAACAAAACAGTTAATCATAGAAGAAACAAATACTGTATCACCTCACTTATATGGCAAAAAAATATGTGAGATACATTTGCAATAAAAAGAGTAAGTGCTGAAGATGCTCTTGTACAACAAAATACCCCATGGGATTTGGTTTCTTGGTGTGGGGGGTCATCTCCATGAATTGACTCAATAACATATTCAGTTCTATACTCTAGATTGTTGTGTAGTGCCTAGGGTCTTAACAAGGGGAAGGAGAGTTGGGAATAGGGGGATATGGGATATATATGGCTAACTACCTCCATGAACGTTTCCTCTGACAGGAGACCTAAACAACTGAATGGTGCCCAGCTACTGACCATTCTGATGAAAGATTCCATAGAAGAATGATCAAAAGGCAGAACAAAATTTCAAATTCTCATGGGCTTAAACTTTCGGGAATCATTACGGTAGTTGACATCCTGACAACTACTGCCTTGAGAAAATCTCTAAACCATTATCACCCCCCCCCCCCCCCGCCAAGCCTTCTTAAAATCAAGCAAGAGTTTAGCTTAACTAGGAAAAAAAAAAAAAAGGTTTGCCATGAGTGTTGTGTTAAGAACTGTGCATATGGGATCAAACTGGCAACAGCAATTGAAAAATTAGACATCTTCTTTGGTGCCATCTGTCTACTTCTGTCTTTATCCCCCCATAACCAAGGTGCCAGTACCTATCCCTTGGACTTCTTCAGAAGCTCTAAGCTGTTTAAAGCCAGAATCCTCCACCAGCAAAGGATCACAGAAGGGGAGAGGCTATCTACTCCCCACCACTCCAGTATCTAGAAGGAGGTGCCTGGTATACAGTGAATACTTAAATACAGGAAGTTGCTTTGGGGGATGTGTGGGAGGTGGAAGTCAATCATTAAATATGTAAATGCCTACAGTACCTTATGTAAGTTATGAGAAAAAATACTTGTCTGGGTACCCACCACCACCCAGTCTCATACCGATTTCCTCCTGTGGCACGGAGTTTGATGTGTAGGGCTGTGATGCCCAACTCCTTACACCTCTGGGCCACATCCTGGGCAGCCAACATGGCGGCGTATGGTGAAGATTCATCTCGGTCAGCCTTCACCTTCATCCCACCAGTCACACGGCAGATGGTTTCCCTGTGGACAAAAGCAGTGATTTCTTGATTCAATGAAGATTCAGTTTCTGTCCTAATGAGAACTACACCTCAGGTCTAAGGATGAAAGGCCAACATAAATCTGAATCTTGCTCCTCTGACAAACAAGCACCTGTTAAATGCACAACTGGGTATGCAAGTGAGCAAGGCCCCTACCACCACCAGGTGCGCCAATGTAGTCAAAAGACTTCACACAGCTCAACTCAAACATTTTATATTCATGTTTCCATTTAGTCCTCTAAAATTACTTCACGAGGGAGGAAGTACTTTTTAGTTTTCTTGGTAATCACAGCAAAAAAAAACAAAAACTTCCTCACATACCACAAAATAGTAAATTTTCAGGTTACTGCTGTTAAATATCATTGATTCAGTTCTGACTCTTAGCAATTCTGTAGTTTCCAAGAATTGATTGGTGATTTTAAGCCACCAAACTTGTGGTTAGCAGTCTGGTGCTTACCCTACAGTGTCAAGTCCCTTAGTCCTTTGCCCGTTGAGCTCATGACTCTCCACTCAGGTACTTACTTGCCAGAGAGATCAGTGACGTGGACAAAAGTGTCATTGAAGGACGCAAAAATGTGGCAGACACCAAAGACATTCTCTCCTTCAGCCACCTGAGGTCCAAGGCTGATCACCTGCTCCTCCTTCTTTTCCTTCCCCTTGCGAGGTGCCATGTCTGAGGGGAGGAAAACTACAATGTTAGCAACAACCTACAATACATCAATAGAACAAGGGAAAGTTGTACAAGGAAACCCCCAAATTGTTCCAGTGCCCATTTTTCTCCACCCAGGACGGCTACATTCACCGCTGCCATTTCTTCCTGCACTCAAAGCACTTCAACTGGGGCTAAAAAGGCAACAGTACTTCCCCCAGCAAGTACCAAAAGTGTACCTCACAGCATCTCCAGGAGAGAAACTTGGGGCTCTAGCAGCAGTATCTCTGAATTTTTACCCAATGGCTTTCTGAAGCCATGGAAAACATACGTTTAGATCTCTGAATACAACCACAACTTTGCAAACCTGGACAAACCAATACCCCTCTACTACAGCACTGGCCTCTAACAACTGCTCTCCTCCCTAGAATACACTTGTGGTTGAATGCCATCAAGTCAGTTCTGATTTAAGTTTTAGCTGCTAACTTTTAAATTAGCAGCCCAGTGCTTGCCCTACAGAGCCACACCAGGACTGCATTACCATTCTCATTTTACAGGTAGGAAACGAACATGGTGTTGTTTCAGGAAGCCAGCTGCAGAGCTAGAGACCAGAACCGACTAAGTCCACACACCTGACACTTCCAGTGTTTAATGCCAAGGTCAGTATGTACCCATTTATCAAAGGGAGCTGTTCCAAAAATTCTTTGTGTATAATGTGCATTGCCTGTTGAATTCCTCACCAACACACCAGTTTAAAATACAAGGCTTCACAATAAAACATTAAAAAAAAAAAAAGCAAAGCCTCCTTATCAACATAGTCCTTGAGACTTATTTCCTGTGCTCCATTGGATCCCTCCAAATGCCGTTTAATGCTATATTCCAGGCTATAGCAAGACATCTGATAATGCTCCCTCCAACTGTTTAAATCCCAGCCCTTAAATTTTTTTTTGCCCCATCAACTTTTAAGTATTTTGGGAACCCTGGTGGCATATTGGGTTGTAACCACAAGGTCAGCAGTTCGAATCCACCAATCAACGGTTTATAGCAGCAACAGAATTAAGTACTAAAAATATGACTTCCAGGAAGGCTGATGGAAAGGACCTTCCCCAGAAATCCAATGTATACCTGTATTGATTCAAACAGCTCTAATTTGATATAGAACATGAGTAAAATCAGTACCCTGGCACCAAGTTGATTGGAGAAAGATAAAGTAAATGAGAACGTGGAAGGTTTTCTTTTTCTGGGGTCAGAAAAGTGCCATAACATTTTCAGAAGGCAGAAGTAAATCCAGGCTGTCCAACTTCCTGCAAGTGGGGAAGCAAAGATAGGCGGGCCTAATCTCTAATCATAAATTGTAAGAGAATCCAAGTGTCCTGACTTCCAGTCCAGCACTTATCCCAAGATGCTTCTACTCTGTACACCAGTAACAACAGCTACATGCTTCACTGTTCAGCGCGTCCTTATAGTGGCTAGCCAATGTCTGATACACAAAGCAGCCCCAGCACTAGGTCTTACTAGGTGGACAATTAATTGCCCCTACTCTCAGACTAATGCACACAATACAGTAGGACAAATATTGTTAAGAAAGATGCCATGAGGGTTTAAAGAGGCAAGCTCTAATTTCTGTGTGGAGAAACCTAGAAAGGTTTCAGTACATCTGGTCTAGGTTCTGATGCAGCAAAGTGAGTTCTGGCCTGGTAACTATTCAAGAATTAGCGACTTTGTGGTTTCTCCCATCCCAATGAACCTAGGAATATAGAAACGCATGGTGGTTCTAAGTGCCCGTCCAGTCCACTCAGACTCCCAGGAAACCGGTATAGGATCATTTGAGGAGCCGCTGGTGGGCATGTGTAGGCCCTCGGCAAGTGCTAGTGTGCAGACCATATTCCCAACTTCTGGCTTTCAAAGGCCTGCCTCCCGCGTTCAGAATTTGCAACGTGGTTAGCACGTAATACCAGGCAGAGACGTTTTCTCCATTCCCTGCTTGTATTCACGTACAAACACATGGTATTAGTGTTTATGATTCCAGATTTGGGAGCAAACTTCGACCGTACTTTAGCCTAAGGTTGCCGGCGGGTAGGTGGGAACCCAGATCTGACAAGGGTCCCCCTCCTCCCCACCACTGTGTGATCACTCAAATGTGACTTTGGTCGAGCGCGTTGCCAATGCAGGGCTCGCACTAGCTGCATTTCTGAAGCGAGGCCGGCTAACAAGGCGCTAACTTGAGTCTAGGTGGGCCGCGAGCCGGAATCCCGGTCGAGATACTCCGGTCGCATCATCCCAACCCGCACCCGAGTCAGTTCCAAGGAAAGACCACAGCCCCAGGTCAACAGCCCTGCCGGACCCCCAAAACATAAGATGCCGCCGGATTGTTCCCAGAAAGGCTTCATACCTGCGCGTCGTCTCTAGACTCCGCCACCGGAAAGAGAGGGTGGGACAAGGCGGGGCGAGGAATCACTTCCGCTCTCCCGGAAGCGCTATTTCTGAGGTCACGGGGCGAGGCGCCGGATCCCGGAAGACGTCACCTTTAGCCTTTCCGTAGGGGTTAAGATTCGCCCTCGGAAAAGACAATTGACTCACGAGAAAACGAAGGGAACCAAGGAATGTCGCTTTGAGCAGGTAGACCAATGCAACTATACGAAACAGCTACTCCCGCTGTGTCAGGCGGGGCGGAATTCAACAATGGCGGAAGTCGGGGATAGACTAACTTCCGCCAACCTGACCCGGGGCCTGGACCGCTTGGCGTCTACGCAGTCTCTAGTGGCTCGGAGGGAATAACAGCAAACCACTGTAATCTTGCTTACAGGCTCTGTGCTAGTTGGTAATCATAAATATTAAAATATATGATTTGTTGAATGTAAATTTATGATCAAATCTGTAAACCTTCACTCAATTTACAATAAAAAGTTTAAAATTTTTTTCAATATTTATGTATCAAGGAGTCCTCATTGCACAGTGATTAAGTCGCTGATCAAAAAGGCCATGGATCAAACCCACCAGCCACTCAACTGTCAATTTACTAATAGATTGTTGTTGTTGTTAAGTGCTGTCGAGTCGGTTTCGACCCATAGCGACCCTGAATAGGGTTTCCGAGGCTCTAATAGATTACACCCTTAGAAACCCTTACTTTGTCCTAGGGATCATTTGAGTCGAATGGACCCCATCACAAAGGGTTTGGTTTGGGGCTACGTGATTTACAGTTTTGTGTCATTTAATCCTTATAATATTATCAAGTAGATCACTGTTTCAATTAATGCCTTTCAGGATCAGGGATCTGAAGTAACTTGAGTGAGATCACACAGTTGTGGCCGATTAGGAATTCTGACTTAAAAGCCTTTATGCTTAACTAACATGATGGTGATGGTTGTGAGCCACCCAGTCAGTTCCAACTTATACGGACCCTGTATAGGGTTTCTAAGGCTGTACATTTTTTTTTTTTTTTAATTTGCACGTCTATTTTATTTCCATTAGAAAAATACTAGCATAGTGGTTACGAGTCAGGCTGCTAACCTCAAGGTTAGCAGTTTGAAACTACCAGCTGTTCTGCCTGAGAAAGATGACGCTTTCTGTTCCCGTAAAGATATACAGCCTCGAAAACCCTATACAGGTCACTATGAGTTGGAACTGACTCCATAGCATATCACCACCACCTTATAAAATTTTGATCTACTTTCTTCTTCTTTGCCTCTATCATTCAGTTTGAATACTTCAACTTTATTCAAGTAAAAAACAGAATCCTACGTCTGACATGAGAACTAAACATTTTACATAATGGTTGTTATGTGCTGTTGAGTTGGCCCTGACCCATAGCAACCCTGTATAGGGTTTCTGAGGAATGGCTGGTGAGCTTGAACTGCTGACCTTGTAGTTCAAACTGACTGCAGTCCAGAGCATTAACATAATTAAGTTGCTGCTGCTTTGTGCCATGGAGTCGGTTCCGATTCATAGCGACCCTGTACAGGATTCACAGGGTTTCCGAGGCTGTAAATCTTTTGCCCATGGGACAGCTGGTAGTTTCGAACTGCTGACCTTAAGGTTCGCAGCCCGATTCGTAACCACTATGCTACCAGAGCTTCTTAGGATTTAATTGAAATTGGTATTTGTTATTACTTTCCAGGTAGAGTGAATCATTTTTCTGCATGTTGTTTCCCTTCACTTTTAATTGAGAAACTGTGTAATGCATGAACCTTCGGCCACATTCTGTGATGTGAGTATGCATAAATGTAATCTATAATATCAGAAATTGGATTCATTAATCTTCAATTCATGTCAGTTCCCCATTACAGGGAATTTTCACAATAATCTTCAGATATTTAGTTAAACTTCCACTTCGAACATCACTTTAAAATTGTATGAGAATTCCAGACTAATCAACACTGGGCCCGTTTATGGTCATGCTGAGGCGTGTGGTCCCTGGACAGCTATTCTTCTATCTCAACACGGCCTCTTTTGGGCAAAGCAGCAATTTAGTAAGCAGCTCTGGCAGGAAAGCTGCTCTTGAAATGCTGTGTGTAGAATTCATTGACAGCAGCAAAGTCATTTATGTCAGCCAGCAACACGGTTGTTTTTGTCACATTGGTGAAGTCACAGTCTGCAGTTTTCAGCATTTCACCCATGTTTTTAAGAGCTTGCTTAGCTTCTATGGCTGCGAACCTCAAAGTCAACAGTTGGAAACTACCAGCTGTTCCAGGGGAGAAAGATGAGGCTTTCTGCTCCCATAAAGATTTATAGCTTCAGAAACCCTATACAGGGTCACTGTGAGTCGGAACCGACTCCACAGCACATAACCACCACTACCACCACCCCTTCTGGACTTCTGGTGTGGTGCCTATAGGATTAGCACTGGACTTTGAACCACAAGGTCAGCAGTTCAGACCCACCAGCCACTCCTCAGAAACCCTATGGAGGGTCGGAACCTATTCAACACCACTTAACAACACCCCCCACTCCTGGCATAAGCTGTCCTTTTGAAGGATCCATACCTTGTTGTCCCCAAATGTAAACAGTCCTGTTGACTAACACAGCTTGACTTTAGGGACCAGTGGCCCCTGGGGCTTTCCTTTCCCATCAAGGAGGACATGGCTAATCCTTTGGCAGCTCATCTGTGAAAAGAGCAAAGCATCAGCCTCACTTAACTTCCTCATCCAACTAACCAGCCCCAGGTTGGGTCTGTCCCTAAAGAATTGTTGGGGGCAGTGTCTCTGTAAATCTTTAAAGGAGCAGAAAGCCTCATTTTTCTCCCAAGGAGTAACTGGTAGTTTCAAACTGTTGACCTTGCAGTTAGCAGCACAGCTTGTAATCCGCTACACTACCAGGACTCCTTGTTTTTGTTAACTGTCTTTGAGTTGGTTCTGCTTCATAACAACCTTGTAGAGGGCTTCTAAGGGGCGGCTGGTTTAAATCTTGGGATTTAAACTAACATTTCAGTCCAGTGTTTTATCACACAGCACCACACTAGGACTAATATACTTACATACATATATATATACATATGACTGATTAGCTGCTTCTTGGGACTCCTATACGGGGTCACCATGAGTTGGATCCAACTCCACAGTACTTAATAACAACAGTGGTATATATGTATATGTGTGTATATGGAGTCCTCTGAAACCCTATAAAGGGTCGGAACTGACTCGCCAGCATTTAACTGTATACATATATATTTAGTTGTTAAGTGCTATCAAGTTGGTTCTGACTCATAGAGACCCTGTATAGGGTTTCTGTGGCTGTAAATCTTTATGGGAGTAGAACTCTTCATCTTTCTCCTGTAGAATGGCTGGTAGTTTCAAACTGCTGACCTTGAGGTTAATAGCCCAACTGTATGTATGTATATGTGTGTGTGTATATATATATAATGGGTCAGTATCCAGAAGGATGGTTTTTTGTGAACTTTAGTAAACATCACTGAATGATTGAATTCAATTTACTTAGGGAAGAACTTTTTGCAAATATAGTTCCTCTTTCCCATTTAGAAAAGTAATTACAGAACTTCTTTAAAATGTAAACATGCAAAAAAGGAGAACAAAAAGGAGCAAAGCAACAATCTTACCCACCACTGTCCTTCCTGCCACAAAAAATCCCCTTAAAGTAAAGAGCCTAGGTTTCACTTTGAGGACTAAGGTATGCCTGACCCAAGCCATGGTATTTTCTTTGTCTCATACATGTGAAAGCTAGACACTGAATAAGTAAGATTGAAGAAGTATTGATTCATTTGAATTACAGTGTTGGCAAGGAATAATGAAAGCACCATGGACTGCCAGAGGAACAGACAAATCTATCTTGGAAGTACAGTCAGAATGCTCCTTAGAAGGCAGGGTGATAAGACTTAGTCTTTATACATGCTATCATTAGGGACCAACTCCTGAAAAAGGACATCATGCTTGGTTGTTGGTATTGTTAAGTGCTGTTGAGTTGCTTCCAACTCATAGCAACCCTGTATAGCGTTTCCAAGGAGCAACTGGTGAGTTTGAACCGTCGACCTTGTGGTCGAGTACTTATCCTACAGTGGCCCATGCTTGGTAGAGGTCAGCAAAAATGAATAATCCCTCTAATGAAATGGATTGACACAGTGTCTGCAACAATGGGCCCAAACATAACAACAGTTGCGAAGATGACACAGGACCAGATGCTGTTTCGTTCTGTTGTGCCCAGGCTCACTATGTGTCATAACTGACTTAATGGTGCCTAACAACAAAACAAACATGTCCTCCCCAAACTATCATCTACATTTAAACCTATAGGAGAAGTGCTTTTTTTTTTTTTAAATTGCAAATAACCTTGGAGTCCTGGTATGGCATTATAGGATAAGCCCTGAACTGCTAACTGCAAGGTTGGTGGCTCAAACCCACTAGCCACTTCTCAGACACCCTATAAAGTTTCCTGAGTCAGCACCGACTTGATAGCACTTAACAACAACACCCACCTTAGAATATTTTTCTTTGTTTAAAAAACAATAACCATGAGCATTATAAACAATTCACACAATTCAGAAAAGTATGCAGGAGAAAATTTAAATCACCCCCAAATTCATCTAGAGATACTGTTATGTTTCCCTGGTCCCTTTCTCAGGAACCCAAAGAACTGGTTTCACTGAATCGCAGCTTCTCAATCACACACACATAATAAGCCTTCATTCAGAAGCATTTTATTGCAAGCAATAGTACACTTCAAAGAGAGAGAAGTAGGTCTGTGTCCATGAGTGGAGAAGACCCCGTAGGATTGGGGGTATGGAGCTTATAAGGGTATGGAGTCTCCTCCCCTAAGGGTGGTGTTGCAGACCGTGTAAAGCTGGTCAGAAGTTCGAGGCCCACTGGGCCCAAGTGTTGCAGATAATGCAGGCCACAGGCTCTGAGGAACAGATTCTAGCCACCTAGCAGTTATGGCAAATTGTTTTTCATCTTAGTATCTAGTGATGTTTTTTACTAAATGCAGACATGAAGCCT